AGCACGGAAAGTATTTTTATAATTCCTTGAAGAGCAAGTAATATAACTTAAACTAAGCCTAAAATCAGACATTTCAAGACAAAGAAGATTAGAGGTATGAGTCATTGCTAAATAAAGATGTTCAACCTTTTTCTAATACTTGTTAGTCTGTTAACTATCATTCTGACTGCAAATAAAGCAAAAACAAAGGAATACATTCTTAGGTAATCCCTGGGAGAATTTCTATTGGACAAATCCAACTGTTCCTAATTAATTTTCACTATGACAACTCCTCCCAAATGCTGAACATTCCAAACCATTTTTGAGTGCAGCTAGATTATCATTCAAGTAAGCACAAATTTCCTGAGTATACTGAACTGTAAAGGTAGGCCAAAAAAAAATCATTGTTGTGCCTTTCCTATGGTAGGAACTCAAATAATCTATCAGAATGAATGAATGCTCCTTTTTGCTTGAGAACATATAGTAATTTTCATACTCTGTACTCTATCTACTATCATAATTGTTAAACTAAATCACTAAGGTGATGTTAATGAACACATCCTGTGTGTACTTTTTTTTTAATGAAATTGTAAATAAATACCAGAAACTGAAATTGTGAGAGATTTTCCTCCCTCCAATTTCCAAATTTTCTATAATGGCCATTCTTCCAATTTGAATAGAGCATTAAAAGAAGCAACCTTACAGTATTTATTGATGTAGATCATATACTATTTTTTTTATTAAAACCCACTTTAGAGGCTTTTATTGTTTAATTTAAAAAAACTGCCAAATTAAAGAAAACTTCACACAAAGCTGGCTGCTGAGAAATTAATTAAAATATGCATATCTTGGTCTCATTCAATAAAATAAAGCCTTTATTATCATGAAGAGAACTATTTGCACACAAATTGTATTGACAAGATACGATAAATGGTGCTAGATATTCAGAAAAAGAATTCTGTGGGTTCCATACTCAAAAAGCTTACTACCTAATTAAGACAACAGATCACTGCTGAAAAAAAGAACTAAAAAATGCAACAGAACACTGAATTTGCCAAGCATCTAATACAAAGAGAAGTAAGGTAAAATGTATAGTTTTTAAATCCCTACAGTTCTACGTCCAAGTCTTAGATCCACCACTTAACAACATATGTAAATTCCTTCATTTATAAAATGTAGTTTTAGATTAAGTGAAATAAATGTCTGGCATACAGAAACACCCAAACAAGCTAACAGTACTACTGTTACTACTAGGCACATAGGCTTAATGAAGAAATAGGCAATTAGGAAAGTTTAAAAAGAAAATAGGGATCTTTTTTTGTCATCTACCACTATAAACAAAAATCCAAGTTTTACTTATTAAGAAAGCAGAACACAGGGGCCTTCCTGATGGCGCAGAGGTTCAAGTCTCAGAGGTATCAAGCTATTGCCAACATAGCCCAAGCATAGCAGCATAACAAGTTCAATCCCAGCCAGGCAGCTGATCCACATGGCCAGCAGACTTCTCCAGTCTTGCCTGCTGCTCCCCTCAGCAGTTTATTTCAGTCAATCTGCCTATTCTGCTCCCCATGTAGTCTCTGGTGAATCTTTTCACCCTCTCCCCCACCTCTGGCCTACATGCCAGTTCTTGTACACAAAATAAATAAAATAAATCACCACCAACCTGCTGGTGATGCAGCAGGTTAAAGCACAGCACTGAGAAGTTGGAGCCACTTCCACATGAGTTAGATTCCCCTCTGCCCTGGAGGTGACCACATGGCATGGCAGACCTCTCCTGACCGGCCCGCTGCTCCCCCCAGCCAAGTGTACTTCATCCATCTGCCTGTTCTGCTCCCCACTCTGTCTCTGGTGAAGCCTCTCGCCGCCCCTCAGCCTCTGGCCTGTACCCCAGTTCTGTATGCACAAATAAATCTTTAAAAGTAAATAAATAAATAAATCTTTAAAAAAAAATGGAAGGGAACACTTAAAGAACACAAGTGAAATCAGAAAACACTATGGCACACAACACTAAATTACCCTGGGAAAGTCACCATTGGATCTATGAATCATAGAATATGATCTATAAAACAGAAAGTTAGGTGGAAAGTCCTTGATCAGCTAATTCAAACACTCCTAATAGAATCTAAGCTCCCTGCTATGTCTACCACCAAGTTCCAAGAACTGTTGTCTCTTTTGTTCAGTAAATCTAGTACACTCACCCTCCAAAAAGTAAATCCTCAGTACCTAGAATAAGTCCTGGCACACAATGAATGCACAACAAATACTTGTTGAATGAATATCAAAATTAAGAAAATTGGTATCTAGATATTTAAATTCAATGTCACAAAGTCAGCTGTTGGCAGAGCTGGGGCTAAAACTAACATTTTATTAACTCTAGTATTCCATCCTCTCTAGAAAGTAAAAGATGATAATGTAGGTAATTTATTTTGGTGGTTGGGGAGTTGGAATTGACTAGCATGTAGGGAAAGAGTAGAGAAGGAAAAAACTTTTTTTTCACTATTTTTCCCCAAACTGTTAGTTTTGCACAAATTGATAAAGGCAAAAAAGCTTAAACAAGACAATCCCAGCACAGTAACTAGCATATAACAGGTACTTTACAAATACCTCATGAATGAATGAAGCTATTTCAAAACCACTATTATCTCACTACCAGAGGCAGAACTGAACTTCAACATCTGTTTAATCTTTAAACTGTCATAGAGTCCTTTAGAATTTTCACTCTTTTGTAAGATAAGCAGTTATTAATCACTTTCTTCCAGATGGGCACAGAGGGAGTGGGATGAATTAAGATGTCCTGCCCTGGGGAATCTCTCACTGGTGTAGGCCCAAGTCTAAGTATGTGCTTTTGAAGACCAGATGCCGGGAAGAGGGGAAGTGATAACTGTTAAAGAAGACTGCAGTATCTGTTTATATGCCTCAGGTGAAAAAACATTTTTAAACATAAATCAGTCAACTTTTGAAATAACAAGGAAGCATATCAGAGTAGATTAACACTTGGGAAAGTGCTTTTTCCTGTGCCTTGATAATATATCTTATTACCTCTTAATATCTTAAAATTATTCTAAATTGACTTACTTGAATTGTCAGTATAAATGACCCATCGATGTTAGCTCCCTCAATGCATAATGTATGCTAAAGGACAAGACTCCTGATTCAGTATTTATTGAATTTTTCATTATCTACTTAATGCAGTATTTAGATATTTACATGTTAATATTTAAATATATAACCACAAGAACGTAATTATTTAAGTGACTATAAAACTGACAGAGCCAAAAGAAAATCTCCAGAGAAGAATGATAGTAAACAGAAACTAAAAACACAGTACTACACAGGGAGAGAATAAAGTATGTACACAACTGAGATGCACATCTATAGAATTCTTCAAGAAAACAAAAGCTTCAGAAGGGGAAAAGTCCTACCAGAACTGGTGAACAATGAGCAACAGGCTGCCCACAAGGATCTTGCTTAATGCCAGTCACTAGCTAGCCTTATAAAAACTGAACCTCAAAAGTCAATGTTGCCATTCCTCAAGTTTTGAGTTTCAGGAAGGACCCTTCCAAAGGAATTCACCACCAAGATGAATTACCACATTCCAAGAATTCTTCCCCATTATCTGCTCTTCAAACTAGGATAACCAACGCCAAATAAACTGACTTCAATTAGAAAACTGACAATTCCCAATAACTAAATTTAGTTATTTTATCTGGGCACATATTTACATGTGACTTCCCAGAGAGAACATAATTTTCACTCAATTTCTATCCTAGCATGTGAAGCAAAATACCCGAAAGCCTCAACACAGAAAACTTTATGGTCCATAAGTATGCCCTATCCCAAAGTTAAAACTTGATAAGAACTGACAAACCCAGGCCAAGGAGACTGCAAGTTGGCAGGAAGATAATACAAGGCAAGCAAGAAAGCTGGTGTGGGCCCCGACAGAAAATCCAAAGCCACCAGCTCCAGAGAGACCAGGCTGGTAAGGGCAAGTATGAGTGTTGGTAAGAGCGGCCATAAGAAACTAGCAGGTGCATGTCACTTCATCATTCTGGCCATCATGGGAAGATTATAACTGCCTTTATTTACAAAAAAAGGAAAAAGGAGGTTCCCAAAGTATGAGGGATGTGAAGACGTTTTATGTTAAGTACAAAGACTGGACTCTGAAAAATGTCGAAAGGCAAAAAGCAAAGATCCCAAGAATATGTCTGGGTGAAGACTTCGCCAGGGCAACTGATGGTGGTTCCCTTCACCGGAATTCGTGGAACCATCACACCTGTAAAAGGATGTATACCATCAATCCGCGTGGACAGCGAATGCAAGTCCACCAGGTAGGAGTGGCAGCCGACATGAGGGGATCTAACCGAGAAGGAAACCTGGTCAGAGCGGGGGATACTGAATTCAGGAAGGGGCAAGCAGGGTATGTACACACTTGAGTGGGCTAAGACTTACTTGGAAGGAAGGACTTTCATTGGACTCTCATAGGAAAAAACGAGCACAGAAAGTAAAGATTAGCTCAGAGGGGGCCATGAGGAGCTAGCTCCAGAAAGTTGGCTCTGAGAGAACCACGCTGCCCGGCCCACTGCGCGAGCCTCGCGCTGGGCGAGGTCTGACCTAGGGGCGAGGCTGATTCGCGCGAGCTCAACAGGAGCTCACCTGGAGTGCGAATGGCCTGGAAGTAGGAAACTTCCTGGGTGGTGAAACTGACTGGAACGAGCGGGGCCGGGTACCCACAGAGCGGGACGTGGGGGGACAGAGTCCACTCAGCTGTGGCGAGGAGAGGACCAACAGGGGGGCGCGGGGCGGGGCCCGAGAGCTGACCGACCGGGGCGGGGTCGCGGCTGCCTCAGCGGAGCTGCCGGCTCGGGATGGCGCCCTCTCACTCACACGCTCCGGTTCTCACCACCAGCAGCTCCGCCGAAAGCCGAGAGAAACTGTCCGGGTGGGTGAACCAAAGGGCGATGGGGGAGGGGCCAGCCGGGGACAGCAGAGGACCCAGCCCCGAGGACGGGCGGCGGTGTTACCTGTGTCAGGGAGAGCTGGGCCGCCGCAGCCATGGTGTTTCCATCATGCATAGGAGGGGAAGGAAAGACTGGCGGACGGGGGCTCGGGGCGGGGAGGAGGCGGAGGGAGCGGCCGGAGACAGGCGGGCGGGCAGACCGACGGGCGGGCGTCTCCCCTAACTTCGACAACTTCCCTCCTCTCGCCCGCCCCGCCCCGCCCTGCCTGGCCCCGCCCTCCGGAGCTGACTGTGGCGGCACCCAACTCCTGGCACTGGAGTTTACGCAACGGACTGGAGCCAGCCTCCAGGGCCTCCTGGGAAAACCCGGAACGGAAAAAAATTAAGGCGGATGGGCTTCAGAGGCGAAAGTGATTCCAGATTGCCCTGTGAACTTTACTTAAGTCATCGTAACTAAACTTATGCTCCGGAACTGTGGGGGAAATTGCACTCAAAGTCCAGCATACTTATGAGAACTAAATGATTTAATGTTAGGGAAGAATAACAGAATATTATACATGCCAGGATCTGTGCCAACGGGTTTGTTTTTGAATTGTAAGAATGGAGAAACTGAGAAATTCCACAAATGAAGAAACTAAAATGCAAGTACGTGTCTTACAGCTGATAGATATCTGGATTAAAATCCAGGTCTGACTCTCAAATCTTTCATTTAATCTTTTGCTATTAAAGAGTCATTGAGAAAGAAGACTTAATTTTAAGTAATTCTCTCTAAGAGCCAAAAATCTGGGTGGGAGGGGAAATGAATACTTTTCATGCCTGTTTTCTGCCTGCCATGCTTAACTTGTTCAATAAAAGAGCACTGGAACCTGCTCAGGTGTTGCAACACTCCTCACTCTTCCCATAGTTCACTTGGCAAAAGCCTCACTTTCTCAAGGTACAACTCAAGCATCTCTGCCTTTGCAAAGCTTGTCCTAACCTTTGCAAGTCAGAATTACACCTTCTCCTTTTCCTTTTAAAGTTTCTTTTCCACCTCACTCTATTCCTCTAGACTGAGAACTCTTCAATGGCAAGAATTATTTCTGCTATATTTCCACGCCATGAGGCCCTAGTACATAATATGCACTTGATAAAAACCTTAGTTCATGCCTGTATTAAATACAACACATCATACACTCTCATGCTGCCATCTTCAGTTAGAATAAACAGTTACTTGAAAGTCTCATTTTTAAAGGTTTGGCTTATATGCCACCTACTTGAAGAAGCTGTCTAGGAATTCCCCAACCTACCTCTTAGATGTCTACTAGGATCCTTATCATACTTTGCCCTGTCTAAGAGTTAGCTGAGAGTTTTCTGTGCCCCCATTAGACTGTAAAATTCTTGAGGACTGGGGGACTGACTCATTGCTTCATCCCCCTTATAATTAGGCTAGCACAGAGTAAGCTTCAATAAATATTTTTGTGCAGATTTGGTTATTTTCTCAATCATGGTGGCTTACCACAACACTGTCAGACCCATAGTTCAGTTATCATTATCATAGCAGCCCCCATTTGATGAACTAAGAGAGCCATTTGAACAAGTCCCAGGATGGAGTTAGCCCCACCTAAGTTTTTTAAACTCTGCCACCACAGGTAAACCATCCCACTAATGCCCACAGAAACTTCTGACTCTGTTCATACCCCTTTTTACAAGATTCAATCACTAAGAGATAGCTATACAGCCTTGGTAAGCAACCACTTATTCAAGAGAGCATTCCCTGTTTTCCTTTTGATGTTACTCTTTTTCCCTCAAGAAAGAAGGGGTGATAGCTTCACTGCACATCGGTTTATCTATCAGCTATAACAACTGATGTTTCTACCTGAATTCCCTATTTTGCATGTTTGCATTTGAGCTTCACAACAACTCTGAAAGGCAGTAATCATTATACCCACTTTACAGATAAGTAACTGAAGATTACAGAAGTTTAGTTCCCACAATTTTATAGCTAATAATCAAGGCAGAATAACATAGTGGAGTAATAGTGTTTGGATATTAGAAACATCCATTGTCTAATCCTGGCTCTACCGTTTACCTGGTGTACAACCTTAGCATTCTTATGAAGACAATGAGATAAAATATATGAAAATATCTAAATTTTTACATATCCAAATTTGCTTAAGAAATCTGAAAGTCACAGACTAAGTTAGTTTTGAAAGCCCATATTCATTTGCTATTCAAGGAGACTCCTCCAAACTATATGAGATACAAAATATTACTTTTGGATGACTAAGTTGGAGTCCTAGAGTGTAGAATTTTCTAAAAAGGTGGTGTGGGATAATAAAGAGAATCCACTGGAGCCACTTAGTGTGTCTCAATCAGAAAAACCATTTAACCTACTTGAGCCTCAGTTTTTTATGCAAAAAAATGAATAAAGCAATGTGAAAATGTTGAGGAAATGTAAGGAATTTTTGTACGATTTATATTAAGTCAAAAACAGTGCCTTGTAAATACAAAGTGTGGCTTTTCATAGTTTATAAATGTTTTTGCATATCTACAGCTACCACAATTCCTGGAGTCTAATAGGTACATTATAACAAGTTACTGAACTAACCTGAATGCATATCTCCTGTGTAGTTATTATTTGCATCCTCATTTTATTCCCATTTTACAGATAAGAAAACTAAGGAACAAAGATACTATAAATAGCTTTTTAAGTAAGGATCATTTGGGTCTCCCTGGTGGCACATGGGGTTGAGTCTCAGTACTCTGAAGCCAGTCCACAGTCATTACAGCATGAGTTCGATCCCTGGATAGGGAGATGACCCATGTGACATAGCAGACTTCACCGGACCTGCCTGCTGCTCCCCTCAGCAGTGTATTTCACTCAGTCTGCCTGCTCTGCTCCCCACTCTGTCACTGATGAATCCTCTCACTCTTCCACATCTCTGGCCTACACCCCAGCTCTTATATGTGTAAATAAATAAATCTTTTTTTAAAAAAAAAGGATCACTTAAATCAGGTTTAGGATTTGGTTAAAATAATAATAGTCACAATAATGTAAAAATAAACTATTAATAAAAAAACAATAATAATAGTCACAGACAGGTCCTCATCATGAGAAAACTAAAAATCATTATATGGGACTTGCCCTAGGACCCCTTCCAGAGTACCAATAATTTGTATTGACTTCCTTTTCCACTCACTGGTTTGATTTAAATTAAAAACTTGATATGTAGTAGGGGATGAGAATGATGGCCCAAACCCCAAAAAGGCCTACAACATCTGACTGATTTTATTTTTAATGACACACCAATGATAGTGTGCTAATGTGTGTCATCAAAGCACTGGGTCATATCTCAAATCTATTTTAAGAGAATAAAATGTAGCTAATGGAAGATATGATCTAATGCGTTATAACAAGAGTGAGATTCATAAAGCAGACACAAAGGATGTACTCAGTTTTTTTCTAGGGCAAGTTAATGTCTTTGGGTCTCTGAATCTCATATTCCTTATGTGTACCTTGACAGTAACATCCACCTTGTAAGAATAGTATAGAGCATAGAAATCATGCATAAAGTCCTATTAGAGTCTAACCTGATTCTGTAGATACACTGGTTATTGAAAGGGAATACCTTGAGTAGCTGACACATTCCTATAACTGGAAAAGTAGATGTTCCAAATGTAAATGACTCATATCTACATTTTGATAACTTGCAATCACTGTTTTCATATATATTATTTGATTTAATTGTCAAAACAACTCTATAGGGGTTACTATTAATTTTATTTTTCAGAAGAGGAATTTGTCCAAATTCATACTGACAATGCTACAGATTATCACAGATCTTTTGATTCAAATGTGCTTTTTACTAGGGCATGTGCCGGTGTCCTACAGATATTGAACACCCCCAAGAAGACATGATAAAATGCTGCTGACCATTGAAAGATGAGGATAAAGCTCTGGATTTATAATAACCCTAAACCCAAGATGAGCTTGAAGAGGGGAACTTAGATCTTGAACAGTTTGTCCAAAAAGCCTATCTTTCATCTTCCTGTCTTTAACTCCTATTTCTCTCCCAAAACCCACCCTCACAGGAAATTAAAGCTAGTTTTATTTTTTTAGCTTCCATCTTTTAGAGGTGGCTATCATATCAGTTCTTCATGAATGCCACACATCTGGCATGTCATCATTTAGAAATACAAAATGATTAATTGTACCTACAGAAAATAAAAACTGTGAGGAGCTCTCTGAACATACAAAGAACCAATTTATTTGCACAACACTTTCAAAAAGCCTTCCATATAAATGGCGTTAAGCTACAAAAAAAAAAAATCATACTACAATTGTAATGGTAATCTCATGTGTCCAAGCTGCTAGTTTCATAAATATAGCCCATTATTGTTCATGTTTGCCCAGGGCAGAAAGAAAATGTGAGGCTGCACAATAATAACAATTGTGCTATACAAATAACTGTCCCTGTGCCAGGGACTGAAAAGAACAAGCTGTAAGACTTTTAAATGCCATACACACCACTCACACCCAGGGTGTGATAGGACAATTTAAAAAATTGTCATCATCACTAATTTTTAAAAACAACAGGGTATCCTGGGAGAGGCTTAATTGAGAACTGGGAAGGCCCAGGTTAGTCCAGTATTGGCCCTAGAATTTCCTATTTTGTGACCTTACAGAAGTCAAACCAGGCCATGGCTTCCTTTCTGTAAACTGAAGGTGATAATAACACCAGTAGGTACTATGGTCAGTAAGTTTACATATAAAAGCAGTTAGCCTAATACCTGGTACACACCAGATATGGCTCTTTTTTCCAATTACTGGAGAACATTTAAGTTTATATAGCCAGAACACAAAATGGAAATCATGTGTCAAGATCTTCAGTGGTTTTCCAAAGCCTGTTTCAATGGGTTTTTGATAAAATATATTCATTCATTAGCAGTAATTGTTAAGTACTATCAATTACGGAAGCTTATTACATTTATGTCCTAAAAATTCCATTGGCTTCTAGCAAGAAAGCAAATTCAGTTTTATGCTTGTCCTAGTTCTTTCCTTCCCCTTCCCCCTTCCTTTCTTATAAAGGGTCCTGGAAGCATTAAGAGACCAAAAGAACACCATGGGAAAGAAAATATTTGCACTCAAGCCTGCAGGTCCTTTCATCTGCAGATTTCAAAGCATTGTCTCCATCACTAATTACTAGT